AGCAGACAGGCTATCCTTCTTGCCAGGAGGAAAGCAGAAGGCCATGGAGGCCTGTAATGTGACCTAGCTAAAGGGGGAGAGAAACAATGGCAGAAAGAGGTGGTGTGACAGCTCCGCAAGAGCCTGTGTGTGGACGGCTCCTGTAGGCTCCCAGCTGCAGATCTGCACTGCTGGCAGGAAATCCGTGAAGAGAGCAACGAGTACAAACGTTCTGGAATAACATGCACCAGACACAAAGACACACAGCTGCACTTCCCCTCAGAAGCACCATCACAGCTCTCCCTTTTTCTTTCCTATGGTGTTTTCTAACTGTTTTCCTGTATACCTGGATAACTGATGCAGTGCATTGGTTAAAGTAATTTCAAAATCCTTCTATATTGAAAAGGTATAAAAAAAATAATCTCCTCGAGTACCTGATTTCCTTTCCATTACATTCCACTATGCCAACCTACCTTTGCTTTACCTCATTATCATTCTGAAATGATGTGAATAAATTCCAACAGTTCAGAACACCAAAACAATGTCTGGGTGCCCAGAGAAGATGTAACTGAACCAGGGGCACCAGCTAACCTTGCCATCCAGTGTATCTGTTGAGAATTCGCTGGTCTTATGAGATTAGATCCTCTATCAGTTCTCAATCAGACTCTCAAATCAGTCAACACTATGGCTGCTATGAAGCATTACTCCATCGTTCTACACCTAAGGCCACCAAAATAGTCAATCTTACCCCCAGCTCAAGGGAGCATCGTGATATGCATAGATAACTTCTTTCCTGGATGTCAAACTCCATGTAAAGTCACTGAGTTCAGCTCTGCCAAAGCCTGAAATCAAAGGTTAAACATGCAATTCCTAAACAAGACACTACCCAAGCAAGCAAAACACAAGGAGACATCTTGTGTATCTGCAAAGCAGAAGGAAAGAACCCCCCCTAAACACAGCTGCTGTCTAACAACCGTGATTTATGCAGAATATGCTACTCTATTTTTTAACTTTCATCCATAACGTAAGAAGCTAAAGCTCCTGGAAAGAATCAAAATTACCCTGCAATAATGTAAGTCAGAATAAATTCACCGAAATCTGGATAAACAAGAAGAAAAACCATCCAAGCTTTCTTCTCAATTGCCAGTAGATAATACTTGAGGACTGCCCTGTCGTCAACCTTCAGAAACGATCTCCAGAGCCATATGCAGTTTGGCAACCAAGCACAGCACCTAACCAGTTTTTGCATCTAGTTTTACAGAATGAGAGACATATGGAAATGAACAGTCTGGCAGAACAAGTGAACTCTGAAGCAATGGCTTCAATAAATAAAAGTCTGCACACTGGCAGATGGAGAAGCGCGCAGCAGGGAGGAACTGTACTGCAGCAGCAACTTGATTTTAAATGATTCACCAAAACCAATCTGAACCTCAGATCCAAGGCTTTTCCAACTCCTTCAGTCCTACTCTCGGATGAGGAAAATTCCCACCATAAAATGAGGAAATGTAGAGGTTTGTATAACCCAGGACAGATACCAGGAGGTACGTCAGGGAGATACCTATTCTTTTGCTTCTTATTACATCACTAATCACATTTGAGGCAGCTTGCAGGAAGATGCAACCAATTGCTCCCACAAGCCTAGAAAAGCAAAATGCAGATGCATTTTCAAGCCATGTGATGGAGGACAGGATGTCATCACAGTGGATACACGTACATGGGACACACAGGCCTTCCTCTTGGTGAGCAGCAGCTTGGGATCATTGCAAGTGCCACCTTTCGCATTCATCCCATAGACTGCTCTATCTGTAGGCAAATTGAATCTTCCCTATTTACAGGCTGCAGACTGATTCCTAGTCACTGCTAAATGTGATAGATGAGTGGAAAACAAACATAACTACTCCCCATTGCTCCACTTCGTGAGATAAAGAGAATCCTTGCCTGGTGATCTCAAAGATGGTTCTCCCCATCACTTCTGAAAAAGCTTTTAGTGCATGTCCTGTAGCCCCTACTCAAATTACAATCTCCCATCAGAAAGTGCAGTGCAATGCAGAGAGTTCTATGAAACATTCTATGCACATTGCTACCACTTTCCTCCCTTCACTGAAAGATTCCTACATATTAATCACATTCATCCTACGCCTAAAGTTGAGGAAGATTTTTACCACCAACTGTAACTTAGGGTCAGCAAAAAGGAAAATACAGACAGAGAAATACTTTAATTCTTTGAGTCTACTTTTTGCAATACGAATGCACCACGGTCCGCAAGGAGTGACCCTGTCAGCGCTAATGAGCCTTTCCTACCAAATACCACTGAGATGCATGCAAAAGCAGCAAAGTGCAGAACATCCTGCGTGATAGGTGCTGATTCTCTTCATGCCCAGTACCGACCAGCACAGTAAAAATAGACAAGGGACATTTATTAAGAAACCAAGGGAAAAAAAAAAAGCAAAATCAAACTATGACAGTCCGGTGCTAACAACTCTGCCATAGGTACTGACACGTGAGCGCTCGTTCAAGACTACAGTCACTGTGCTGAGCTCTAGATAGTCACAGAATGACTTAGGTTGGATAAGACATTAAAGATCATCCAGATCCAGCTTCCCTTGCCATGGGCAGTGTTGCCATTCACTAGAACAGGCTGCCCAGGATCCCACCCAGCAGTCTCACGGGGCAACCTGCTCCAGCACCTCACCACTGAATAATAAAACTCCTAACATCTTATCTAGATCGTGACCAGCTTCCAGTTGGACACAGAACCATTGGCAGTAGTCCTCCTAAGTTAAGACCATCCAACCATTTCTCTATCCATCAAGTAGTCCAACCTTCAAACCTGTATCTCACCAATTCAGTGAGCTACCAGAACCTCACTGAGCTTTTCCCCAGAACAGGCCCCCTTTAACTACACAGCATCAGCTTCTCTTTCTGACACTCCATCAATTGCTATTACACACGTGATCTCATTTCTTCGTACTCTCTGGTTACCCATCATCGCAGAACTCAAATAACTGCCGTATTTCATCTCTTCCTCCCACATCACACGCAGATCAAGACAATCAGCAGGCAGACATTTGTGGAAGACTGTACTGAAGCCGTTCATAAGACTAAACAGTTTAAAGCCAAGGAATGCCTTCCACCAGCCCTCCCAGCCACTGCTACGGAGTAGGGCAACTCCGCTTCATTGATCAGCTGTCCAAATCAAGCCCAGAGAAAAATATGCACAGCTTCTAGAGCAATCAGTCAATGGACATATGCCTCCACAAATAGAAAGGTGGATTATCTTTTCACATACAGCACAGGGTAAATGTTTTGAAATAAACAATAATGGTCACTATCAATCAAGAGAGTGGAAAACAGATGGGAAGGAGGTTCTGCTGCAAGAAAGGACTCAGACAGGAATATGAATTCTCTCCCTCTACCTTCCTTGTTCTAGTAACAGCCCTAGATCTGCTCTTGCAAGTCAGACACAGGCAATTCCTCCCATCACTGTGTTCCAATACACTGTGTAACTGGCTGCTTTATCACTACAGTACAGCAGAATCGTAAGTAAAACACACCTACAAAATGCTGCATATCAGAATGTGCGTTGTTTTTCTGCTTCTATTAAGTTACCTCAGTTGGTTTCTTTCTTCCTGAATTACTCCCTCCCTTCTCCTCAGCCAAACTCTGAAAGGTTTACAAGTCAGCTGCAGACTATATCTAAGCCTCAATCCCTCTATCAAGCACTATGATCATTTCTTTTACTGTCATCTGCAGACCGATTTGACAAGGGATGTAAAAAAATAATAATCCCTATCGATGATGAACCTCAAACTCTTTATTCTACCTGAATGAAACTAGTTCAGGCATCAGAATCTAGAGCTAGATGAACTTCTTGCTCTTTTTTTTCTTCCTTTTATAAAAAAACAAGTATTTAAAAGCAGTTTACTGCATGGCTGCCATTCTGCCCAACAAAACTGCTCAATCTCCAGGTTCCTCTCCAATACTGAAGTTCAACTTGAGTTAAGATTCCTTAATGGATATTGTTGCAAATCCACTTAAGGTCGCTGATTTAATATCCCAGAGCAACATGTAGCATACATTCATGCGGAACAAGCAATTCTCATGAAAATAATCTTGTAAAATCTACTTTTTAATTAATTCTTAGTTACAAGCGGGTTCCAGATTCTCATTCACTGTAGCACCACTGTACTCAAATCTGGGTGTACAGAAGATCCTTTTAAACTGATAAAAATCATGGCCTTCTACACTCCCAGATCCCATCACCTTTTGCAACTTCTTGTCAGTAACTTCTGACTATAGCACTGAGAATCTAAACATAGGTAACAACATACAAGCACAGTGCAAGGATCACACTGGGATTGGTTTCATGACTGGTTCAGCTTCTCCACCTCAGCTGAAGCAGCCTGTAACAGCACAGCAAGGGCTTAATTCTTGCTCCTAAAACTCCCCTGGAAGGCTTAGAGCATTACACCACAGCAGGCAACGCAGGGTCCAACCTGAGGCTTTTCTGTTCTACAACGGCAAGTGAGAAGACCCTCCAGCCTCAGCTGTTGTGATAGGTCTTGAGCAGCAGAACCACAGAGGTTACCAAAGGGCTGACATGCAGCAAGTAATTCACTTCTAGGTGGCATGGGAGACAGACAACTGATGGCATATCTGAATTTAACTGGCAATGCAACTTCAGCGAGGTTGAAAACACAATCACTTCAAATTGATACCTATGAGCAATCAACATCAGAAGAGGCTGAAAAATCTTTCTGTGCCCCAGAAACCATACCAGGAGCTTCTTCCCTCACCCTTTTTCCCTCAAATGTCCCCTGTTACCACTGGGATAGAACAACAGCCAAGAAAAACATTGCTTTCCATATTAATGAATAATCCAGAAGATGCAAAGGCAGACAACACAGTACATATTACAAAGACTGCCCAATCTTCCTGAAAACAAACATGCACACACAAGAAGAAGCAATCCTACTATTAGTCATAGAAATGGAAAAAAAAACCCACCATCAACTACATACCTTTGCTATTTGGACACACCAGTTTAGCAGAAGCTGGGAGCCAATATTGTCCTTATGTTCATGAACATAATCCAGCAGGCAGCCATGAGGCATCAGCTGAGTGACGAGCTGGATGGTCGGGCTCAAGCAGACGCCCAGGAGTCTCACCAGGTGTGGGTGATCCATGCTGGCCATGATGAGGGCTTCCTGAAACAAAAGAAGTGACCCAGTTACTCCAGTATGCCTAAGGACTGGCAAAATTCAGTGTGATGTTAGATGTAATGAGAGTCAGACCATCCACACAGATGCTGTGAAGGCTCACGACAGAAATCCTGCACTGCCTTACGTTCCCATCCTGTTACACAGACCCAGAACCAAAGACATTTGGTGACACATTTACTCCAAAAGGTCTCTTCAAAAAATAGAAACTAAAACTTCTTTGTTTCTTGAATGTATTTTTCCATCTAATAGGCAACCAAACTACACCACTCACCTATAGTAAAGCCCCCAGTTCAAGTCTTCTCTGGTATCATCTTTGATCAAGCTGTGCTATGGTTTATGAATCAGAAATCTTATGCTTGGTATTTCACAGGCTTAAGCATTATACCTAACCAGAAATACTCAATGTTGGCTATAGTATGCAGCCCAAAAATGCCACAGACAAACAGCACAAGAACTCCGTCCAAAAAAAAGAACACACACCTGCACATCTGTTTGCACAGGTAACGCTGTCATCACAAGTGACTGGCACTCAAAAAACGCAAAGAGAAAGCTTTTCTCCCCCATTCACAGAGCTGAGACCTTCATTTCAAGACCACTCCATCATGGCAATGGAACAATGAAAAGTAAGATGAAGCTGCAGCTTTGTAAAGCTATTTTGGTTCTCTTTCTGCAGAAAACCTATCCGACGTTCTGCTGACAATGTAACAGCTTTAATAGTGCCAAAGAAAGACTGAAAGAAAGAAATGATAAGAAAAATTTGGCACCAGAGGAACATAGCATCCCTTAAGTCTTTGTTTTTTTTTCTCTTCCCTGTGTTAAGGGGAAAAAGTCCTGGCAAGTAGGCAGAGCTTGTACTAAAGGAAATGGCTCATCATAGTACAAAGAATGCTGGAAACCAAATTGCAGACTATTTGCATAATACTTCCCTTTCTTTCCCTTTTTTTTTTTTGTCAAAATCAAAGAACTAGACTCTAATTGTAGGTTCCCCTCCCCCCAAACAAGAAAAGAACAGATGGCCTCCATTACGGGGACTATCTCCCCCTTTCTTCTTTCTGAAACTTATGTGAAAAAAAATCTGTAAATCCACAGGGGCTACCAGATGAGATGACTGGAGGAGGGGCTCTGAGGGAGATTCCAACCTAAAAGAGATAAGGAATCATCATTTAAGAACATTTGCTCCAATTAAAATGTAGTTCTCTCTTATTCAAATAATATGAGCAGTGGCTCTTTGAAGTATTTTTACTTTTCTCTGCTGTCATCAGAAAATGTCAGTGAAGGCCACCAGAATAAATTTATGTTGACTGATGCATTATCAATTTTTGGAGAGCAAAAATTACTTGGTTTCATTTTCTTCCCCTTTATTTATACACCACTCCATTTTTCCCTGCAGATGCATAGGGAGATAGAACTTGTTGCCCTCCCTCTTACCAAGTGAAGTTAAGAGCTTTTCCAGAACTTGCAGTGGGAGTACTTTGCTTTGTAATGAGGACTGATTAGAACACAAACAATATCTTGTTTTTGCTTACTGAGGGACCAGATGGAAAGATTTGAAGCATGTGCTCCGTTAGTCTCCAGTTACTTGCCATCTATAAGACTGAGTTCAAAGGAAAGACACTTCTGTACAATAACAAAAGCATGCAGTGTCATTTGTCTCATCCTGATGTTACGGGAAGCATATACTTTTCCAGTAGCTTTTGGGCAACGCTGCCAGAAAAAATATTCTTAATATAGTATTAAGGGCTGCTTTGCAATAAAGTAAGGGCCACAACAGAGTGGAGAAGCCTTTGTTATTGACCTAAGTTACTAATATTAATTCAGCATCAATCCTGGCTTCACATATTTATCCTCATTAGTAAAAGTATCGTTATTTTTATTACACTACCATCTACAGGAGAACCAGATTCAGGGTTATGTCTATCCAGCACAGAATAAACAAAGCAAAAGACATTCTTCTGAAGTCTAATCAGACAGAACAGACAAGCAACAGAAACATTATCACTTTGTAGCGTTAAAAAAAAAGTTCAGGAAGTAGAGAGTTTCCTTTTTAAAATCAACTTGGACACTGTAGACCTTACAGCCACAACATCCATGGCCCTTCCACACTTAGCAGTGTGGTTTGTACTTGAATTTCGCAACGTAAGGCACATAACTGAGAGACCTGACCACCTGATGCTGGCACCTTTGGGAATTAGGCTGTAGTGTCCCATATCTTCTGGTAGCCTTGCATCTGCAGATCCTGCCTCACTGCTCATCAGCACAATGACTTCAAAAATCTTACGTAACATCTCAATTTAAATGACAAGAAACTGCAGGTCGGAAAAATACAACCTACTATCCAGTTCCATAGGAACTCTAGAGCAGAAGAGAGAATTGAGCATCAAATCACTTCACCGTTCTCTCCAGACAAGAAAAAAAAAAAAAAAAAAAAACAACACTTGCAAGCTGAAACAAAAAGGGGAGAAGGGAGAAAAGTAATAAAGATACTTAATCTTTCCTGGAGGAATCAGTCTTTGTAACACCACATGCTCACATCAGCACCTGAGAAATGACAGCTGAGGGGACAGCTCTCAAAGGATGGACGCCAGGCACTCCATCTATCTGCAGGAGCACTAAGTCTTATCGCTGAGGAACTCCTCAGCCAAATCAGATCTCTTCCTGGTGTCTGTTAATACCTAAGAAGTGACAGCAATATAAATTGCCACAGCAACACGTGACAGACAGACACAGGGCAACTATAAGCCAGCCAGCTTGGATGCAAGCAGCAGCTGAGAAGCTCAGCCTGCCCTTACCTGTAAGGCACATTTCTCAGTCCATAGCAAGACTTAACCAGCTGAGGCTTGGTACTACGAGACATCAAACAAGTTACTTCACACTAAGACTAAGAACACATATTCTGTTCACAGTGTGAATGTATCCGAGGGGAAGAGGAACACATAAAAGCCTTGATATGGCAGGGAGCTCAGCAGGACCACTGCTGTGCTGACACAGCCTCACCACAGAGCACACAGGTGACTTTCATGGAGCATCATGTTCAGCTCAGTACTGTATTGCCCAGAGAGGGTATTTATAACCAAGAAATCACACACCCTGTATGTCATTGCTTCCTTCTGTTCCTTTTTCACGTGTTTAAATGATCTCCACCACATGCATTAAGCTCAGCACCTGATTTAGATTTACAACACTGCACTAACCAAGTACAGGCACGCTGCTTTTTCATGCTGTACATTGATTCTTCTGGCACGCACGTTCACTGACACAGTACAGCAGCCAACTAGAAAGGCAAGCGTATGTAGGCCCCGGAGAGCCACCACCAGCCCTGTGACCGATTCCTCTACAAAGGTCTGAGGAGGTGAAATTGCTAAGAGACAGAGGCCAGAAGTAGAACCTTCAGAACACCCATCAACAGACCAGCCAAAATATGCTTAGACAGGTAGAGCTGGCCACCAGGGTACAGATACATATGTAGCTCCATCTTGGCTAAAAGCATCTGTCAACACAGATGATGAGAGGAATTAGCCGCTCGCTTCTCACAGGTCACCTGAGTCACCTTCATTCCTCAGATAGCTTTGAAAATCACAGCTAAAGCTGTTTTTCTTCATCCACCCTCCACGCTGCAGCCAAGTTTGAAGTTATAATTTGAGCGCTCTTCCTTGAAAAGAAAATCCAACTAAAGCAAGATTTCTGTTTGAGCTGTCTGCGATGAGGAAGAAAGAGAAATTCTCAGAACAATTCTTAAGACTGTGAGAAGAAGGCGCACCGCAGTACCACTAACACCCACAGCACAGTTCCAGAGCTATCTTCCAGTGCCACAGCAATCCTACACACGCTGAGCCAGTGCAAGAGTAACATGCACCCCATTCCAAACAAGTCACACAGGCCCGCTGCCCCAAGCACAGCAAGCTGACAGCACATTTTACTGCTCCAGATGAGCACACACACTTGAGAGTCTGGTAAGCAGGGCCAAAGGCTAAGAAATCTTTGGTTTCCTAGCCTTCTAACTGCTCTTGCCTATACATACCCCAACAAATCTAAAGAAACTGAAGAACAACGCCCTGTTTTTCCTCATCGTTGTTCAGAGCAACTACCAACAGCTTAATTCTTAGTGTCTTAGGCATTTTTCTGAAATCCCAAACTGTGCCATGCTAACAGAAGAGATACTACTGTAAATACATTGCTTTTTTCATTCATTTTACAATACTCCTGACGGCTAGGACAAAAACCTGTCTGGATTGCATGCTGGACAGATTCAACTTGTTCTCAATACATATTGTCTACTTGGCCTTACAGACTCCGCAGGTTACAGCCAGCTTAGCGTATGCAGTCTGCACAAACATTTAAGTTGAGAGACAGCTCAAGACATTCAAAACTGCAGACACCTACGTTTACTGCATGACAGCGATACTCGCTGGTTTACTTCCCCTTTGCCTTCCTATACCAGACACCGTTTTCAACTGCTTTACAGCACGACTCTACGTACAACCCCCAGTGTTTGTCCCTCACCATTCAGGCAGATCCTCTCTGCAAGCCTTCTTTAGAAGCATCTCAGCCATTTCTGACACCAAACAGAGATGCAGCAACAGGAACCAGCAAAGGCTATCTGAGTCCTATGCCGGAACAGCAGCAAGCAGAGGGACGAATGCCATCATCAGTTACTGCGACTATTTTTCCAGGAACTGCTCGGTAATGCACCTGCTTCTAACGGCTAAACAGCACTTTCAGGCAGAAGTCTTATTTGGGACCTGATGACAGCTTATATAACCTGTTTTACTGCTAGGTGATGCAGTCAACAGCATTTGAATGCTTCAAGAGCAGGTTCGGCAGTGAGGTTACTAGTGCAGGGCCGAGCCGCATGCTTCAGCTTGGCTCAAGAGTGCAATAGCACTGCTTTCAGTGAAACATGTTTCTGGCACTGTGCTGTCTTCAGAGACCGTGACAACACAGAGGTCACGTACAACAAATTCTCTTCACTTCTCACTGGAGAAGCT